CCCCAAAACCCCAAAACCCCAAAACCCCATGAGTGAGAATCTAATGTTGATATCGATGGAATTAATCTTAAAAATAAAATGATCAAGCTAAATAATGATGCTAGTAACTTTTTACATCCTTACTTTACAATTTTTTAATCAAATTTCTATTCTAGGTTCAAGTGACTTTGAACTAAACTGGTTTGATTTTGAAACTAGAATGAGAAAGCTTGTCTATGAGCTGCTTCAACCTACCGTTTAAAGATCTCACGAGGATAGGGAAATACTTTATAACTCCAAAAAGTCTCTCATGAATCATTAATAACGACTTGAAGAGATTGAGTATTCTCTATTCAAGTCTACTGAAAAAACAACAGTCTTTGACTAGATATACATGAAAATGGCTGAGATGGAGCAGGACAGGAAAAGCGATCAGGCCAAGACCGACCATCATCTCGAGGGTTTTATGAATATAATAAATGAAGTCAAGTTTCATACCAAGAATGTCTGCACTGCTCAAGATTAGCAGCAAATCATAAATTCAAAGTTCAGAGAGGAATTAGATCATGTAAGCAAGAATATTGCTGAGACAAAGGAGACCTTTATATCAAGGTCTTAGAAAGACTTCAATAAGTTGAACAAAAATCTGGAATAGTTGAGTAGGAAAGCTAGTCAGATTCAGGTACACTAAGATACTCTAGACTTAATGACAAATGCTTTTGAGAGTCGGTTGGATTCTCTGAAGGCTTTACTTGAATAGTACAAGAGTGAATATGAGTAAATACAATTTGACATTTAAAAGTTCAACTCAACGAAGCTAACCTAGAATGAATTTGAGGAGAAGTATCATCATATCATGGATAAGTTTGATCAGGTTATGAAGTCGCTAGACATGAAAGATAATTAGATCTCTACCATAGAAAATTTCATTGAGAAGTATGTCCCTATCAGAGTCTAGTCACAGATTTCTGAGATACTGAATGAAGTAATTACTGGCAAGTAAAAGGAGGTGTTGGAAGAGATAGAAAAGAGAAAGTTTGATGAGCTGCATTAGATTTTGCTGCTCGATAATGGAATGGCTGATTTGATTCAGTAGATTAAGAACATGAATGCTGATCTTGGCTTTATCGAGGAAGCTTAGAACGAGGATAGCATTGAGCAAGAGTTGAAAGTGATTAATGATGATTAGCAGGAGGATAAGTCTAACAAGAGTTTTTTCTCCAGACAAGGCCCTGAAATCTAAATTGCTCTTCTGAGCCCTCACTCTACTTTAAGTGGCAGTAAGAAGATTTTGTCTAAACTGCATGTGGCTTAGATTCTGTAAAACGAGAGGAGAAGGCAGTCAGCTATAAATTTCTTACAATAATAGATTGCTTTCTTGATTCAGTAAAATAACTTAATGAATGGAGAGGATGAAAAAATGTCTTAGAGAACTGATAACATTGGGTTTAATTCATCTGTAACTAATTTTCAATTGATTTTATTTATAGAAAATAACTGGAGCGACTCAAGAGCAGTTTGAAGATCTTTAGAAGTAGATTAGACAGATAAAAGTTGAGCATCAAATTCAAAATTTACTGAAGAAGAATACTTATCAAGCAGAGTAGATGGGTGATAAAATCAAGGAACAGCTAGATAAGACTTAACTAGAAATTAAGAAGGAGATAAATGAAACCAGAGAGTACGTTAACTAGCTGCATCAAGACCTTGACATCCTAAATAAAAAGAGAAAGGGAGATGTGCATAAAATCCTCAAGCAGGTTGTGGACGAAAATCTAAGGTCTGATGAGATTAAAAAGATGTTTACCAGGTATGAAGCAAGTATTGAGAACTTGGCTAAGGTCGTGTCTTGCATTGTGGAGTTCAATTCTCTTAGAAACCTTAGGAATACAGAATTTGCTTCTTCTAATCTGCAGCCAACAATTTAGAAACCTTTCCCTAGTTCCATTGTGATTGATCAGAACATTTGCGATCCTGGACAAAAGAAGGTCAATTTTAACATTACAGCTGATAAGCAAAGACTAAACTCAAATGAAAATCTTCCTTAGCCAGAGAGAGACACTTCCTACTTTGAATTAAAATAACTACCTAGTACTTCTCATTAGACCAGCAGAAATCTCTCCTCTAATGATACAGTAGGATACTTGAACAAGCACAGACTTCAGAAACTGGCACCAGTCAATAGGTCAATCAATCAAAAAATTAATGATATCAAGAGCTTCTTCGAAGAATCAGCTACAGTAAGGACATTTGATTTCTAGAAAAGAGTAAGGCATCCAAATTAGAGGCTTGTCCATTCCTTCCATGACACTTAAAGCAAGACTACCTATGAAGAGAGCTCTACACACACTTACAACTATCGAAATAGAAGACTATCATAGTAAGATGTCAAGTAGATGCTTGATATTCTTATCTAAAAGTGCTAGGAGATAATCTTAGCGAATAACTATCCCTTTAAAGAGAAGAATCTAACCACCAGCAAGATATTTAAGGATCTTTATGATTATCATTTCATGCATTTAAACAAAGGAGAAACTTAGTTGCCTATGTCCTCAGGAGATGACAATTCTAAAATGATGCATTTCAATACATCCAATAGCTATGATGAGTCACATATGAAATCTATATTGAATATCTAGGAACTTGCAGGAAACAGTTCTCCAGATGGAGGGGTTACAACCCATGCTAGCCAGACATTTATGAGCGGGAAGTTCAGTCACAACAATACAACTATTAATAACGCTGGAGGTAACTTTGGTGTCAGAGTGTTTCTAGACACGAATCAGAGTGGCCTGAAGAAACAAGAAATGAGAGCTTTAATTAAAACTAGTGACTAGAGAAGAGACACAAAGATCTAAGCAGAGTCAACGCTTAATAGCTAGAGACTTTGAATCAAAGACAAGAAATAAATAAATTTAATGAAGCATTGAATTAGACTATTAAGAATAATTATCTCTTGATTTCATAAATAATTATTATTGAATTAAGTATGTTTGCAATTATTATCAATATATCGAATTTTTGATCATTAGACTTGGGTGTTTGGCTGATCTCTCATCAATTCAAGTGTTCTGATCAATAAGGCTTGCTGATTTTATTAATCTTTTCTCAAATCACTTATCAGTTCTTCAATCTGTAATTATATCATAAGAAAAAATAATTGAATATGTACAGCTTAAAGTCTAGTTGACTGCAATACATCTTTCAAGAAATTCTCAGCATCCTCTTTGAATTCACTTTCTACATATATTAGAAACTAAAAATATTGAATGTACCGAGGTACTCGTCTTCTTCAGAATTAATGTAGTTAAGGCCAAGGTCAGTAGCCGGGGATTTGAAGCTTTTATTTGAATACATGTCCATACTCTGAGAGGTGATTGGCATTCCAGTTTGAATTGGGGATGCAGTCTGATGATTATCCATTTATTGATTATTCACTTTGAATTTAAAATTATACTGTTAATCTTGAAGATTGAGTAATAGGGGTTTTGGGGTTTTGGGGTTTTGGGGTTTTGGGG